CGCGCGCTATATTTCAAGCATTTTCAAGAATCAGTGAAGCTTGCTATCACCTGAACGTCCCGGGCTTTATTCTACTTTATAGCAGCGTTAGATGGTACCGGATCCCGTTCAGAGCAACTGTGTCCTGTGAGGGTAAGATACGATACTCTCATCGTCAGCTTAGACCGACTCGGCAGGGCCAGCCAAGTGTACACTAGTATCTCCTGATTACCTCCTTGTGGTATGTCAACCCTCCATGACATCCCCGATGGACCCGTGGAGGAGCTAGATGCCGCCGCCTTGGAAGATCTCATAGGCGTCCTACAGCGTCATCAAATTGAATGTGAAAAGACCAGTCGCTACAGCGAAGCGGAGGCAACACGAAAACGACTTGAACAATTGAGGGAAACTGAGAAGGGAAGGGCAAGGGAGGTGACTCGGTCGGCTCTGTTGAGCCCGCAGTAGTGACGGCCGGCTTAGGAACTCCGCACTCAGCAACTGGCTGAGCGGCTCAGCGTAGAAGAGGCACATATGAATGAGCTTCAGGTGAGGGGATGACCAGGGGCACTGGAGAGCGAATCAGGACTGGTTAGGAGTTCAACGAGATCTGGGATAAGACCATGATGGAATTCGAACAACATTCTCAATCGCTGCAACAACAATTGGCCGAAAGACAGATGCAGGACCACTTGGCGTAGGCTGTCTTGATCAGTGCGGAATTGGAAGGATCGTGTTATGGATAGTTATAGAGACAAGTTGAACCGGGAGGTGCAGCCTAAGGCGCCACGATGGAGCAGGCAACTGTTGAACTTGAGGAGAGTACAAGTAGGGTCAGTCGTCATTCGGGGACCTGCTATGATGGGCCATCAGGAAACTCTAGGGAGGCAGAAGCAATACGCGGACGCGGCTCGGTCGAAAGAACAGGCTGATCTGCTTGAGTTGAAGGAGCATGAGGCTTGGAAAACGAAAAGGGACAAGAAAATTCAGAGTAGGATGGTCAGCGACGGTATGTTACTTGACCATCATAGGCAGTGTGGGAAAAAATACGCACGTGGTCAACTCCATGTTGATGGTAATTAGGAAATTCTTGTTGGTTTCTATACATTTCTACTCGAATTCGCATGTGGAGTTCTATGATTAGTGCTTAGCTGAGGAAAGTGAGCGTAAATACCAATACTGGTCATAGGCCTTCTCGACCAGTATACGTACAAGCAGCAGCTTGAAGCGGCTGGGCTGGTAAAGAGGATCCAGTCCGGGAGGGAGGTCCGGGAATTTCGTGGCGCGCGGTAGGAGATGATAGGTGTGTTAGGAGCAGAAGTCAGCACGACGCACAGAGCTGGAGCGTCTGTTACAGCGTTATCACAATGTGAGAACTCAACTTGAGAAACAACAGCATCTCATACGACAGAGGATGGAGAAGTAGTTGGAAAAGTTACGGTACGGCTGAGGGCCTCACGTTCCTGCCTCAGATACCCATCGATGGCTTGTGCCGCTGCTATGAGGAGTAGTCGAGTCGATAGCCCAGTACCTTGAAGAGGTCTCTGTCAGGTTCAGTGATGTCCCGTGAAGGGCCTTTCACGTCTTCTCTGAATAGCAGTAGAGGGAGGAGCCCGAAGTCCTACGGCAGACTGCTCTCGCCCAACATCACTAGTGTAGAGACAGGGCCGAATTTGGCCAGTCCACTGAGTGGTAGTAGCTGATAGCATGTACTTTGACCGTAGTAATGAAGCATTGGTGTGGTGACGATGTTGTGTTGGTCAATTACCACGCGCCACACTGTTCGCGACAGGATGGTATCATTGTTGGCGAATACCTATGCCTCATCCCAACGTGAGTGAGGAACCAATTAGAAGGAGTCTGAAAAGGTCCTGGTTCGATTGGTTTCTCGACGCTGTGATGATGAGTGGTTCAGATCCCTTTCTTACCACGGAGGATGCCGGTCGAAGAGTCAGAGCATGTCCCCTGTCCGAAGGGCGGCCCTGGGTAGTCTACGTTCTACCCATAGCGCGGCTCGGCTAGGGCCAGCAGTTCGACCACCCGATCACCCGACTTCCCTGGTGGCCGAGTTTGGTCGATACCGCAGTGGAAGCGACATCTACACATCTTGTGGCTACGACTTACTTCAACTAGTGGCTCAGGGTTCAGAGGGGGATGTGGGCAGCAGCATTGAGAGGCGTTGAAAGGGAAAGGGTTTTCTACAGGTGTATAGCGCTGCGTCCCGTGCTGATACGACTCGGCCATTGTGTATAAAGATGATCAAACTGCGGTCGGCTGCGGTACGACGGCACGCAAGGCAGGAGGTACCAACCCGGTCTTCGGCGTCGCTGTGAATTGTGCTGGGCAGCTGGTCGTGCTCTTTGGACTGATCAAGGGACAGGAGGATGGCAATGATGATGGTGGATCTAGTGTTATCAATTTGGTAGGAAATTGTTGGCGTTGATATTTTTATACCGTCTTAGGTCGGAGCCTTTGACTGGTTCCTGTCACCATCGCAGCAGGAGTTGGGTATAGTCATGGAAAGGTAATGTTCGGGTCAGACTTGTCCGAATTCCAGCCTCCTCCTTAGATGTGACTTCTGCCTCGATGATTTCATCTGTGTTATCAACGCGGTTTCGGATCGTCTGAGTAGAGACGAGTCCCTTCGAAATAGCGTTAACTCTGCAGTGGATGGGAAAATGAAGGTACGTGGTCGCGCTGGTGAGTTTGTTAAACTTGGTCGGTCGTCGTAGGGTCAGTCTTGGTGGGTGCGACTCCATTCCGAAGAGATGTTGCGTATCTTTGCGCATGCGTGCGGAGCTCTGGAGTATCTTCATGCCAATATGATTGTGAGTCCTTTCCTTTGCTACCTTCCTTCATACAATTGGACAGGTTCACTGTGATGTGAAACTCGACAATCTACTCTACCATTCGGCCAGTGGGTCATGGAAACTATGCGACTTTGGCTCTAGCCGTACCGTCCCCGCGCTAGGGGAAGCTCTCAAATCGACAGGTAGCCTCTTGTTACCTTTCGAAGCCCAACGGCTACTCTCAGATCGTCTTGTTGGTACGTTGTGGACAGCAGCTCCGGAAGTCATAAGATACGGGTAGGGTCGTTGGGATGTGATCGATCACAGCATGGATGTAGATACATTACACCAGCCTGTGATGTCTGGTCCCTGGGCTGTGTTTTGTGGGAGTGTGGCTACCTTGAGCGACCCTTCAACTCGAGAGTACTTTTAGCATATCAAAACAAGTCCGTGAACTTACTCGAAGGACCAAAGAGAAGGCCGGGGACGCCGCTTTGGATTTATAGCAAACAACTGCTGTTACTTGTGAAAGAGCGTATGCTCGTGCAGAAGCCGGAGTTGAGAGCTGATTGCTCACAAATGCTCGCGACTGAGTTCCTCCCCAGCAAGTTTCCGAGGGGCTCATTAACTGTTACTGCGCAGGATTTCGCCTCGGTGTGGTACGCCAAACAGGGTATCTTCACGAACGTGGTTGAGATGCGGCTTATTGAGCGTTTACGCTGGGAGCATACGACCGAGTAAATCTGGGTTGCATTCCCATGGATAATCTCTTGAGGTGTCATTAACTATTTGCTGTTGGCTTCGGGCGGTCTTGGGTTTAACAAGTTGTGGGTTGGTGA